GCTCCGCCCCCCCTCTTTTTGATGGGGTGGAGGAATCGATCCTCTCCCTGCCGGGATTTTCCCGTCCGAAGGTCCCGGCAGGATCTTTAGCTTTCAGGCGCTCCTCCCTTCCTTCCTTTTTTCAGCCTCCGCTTGCGGGCATTCAGCGGTTCCCCGCCAGACAGCAGCGAAGGAGCTGATTTGAACAGCGCCCGATCAGGTACTTATTTTGGGGGCCGGGGGGGGGTGCTGCGATGGGACTGAAGTGAGAGGAGCAAACGGAGAAGGAAGCAGATCCAGGTGGGGTAGCCGTGTTGGTCTGAAGCAGTGTAACGAATGTAGAGTCCAGTGGCACCTTTAAGACCAACAAAGGGTTATTCAAGGTATGAGCTTTCCTGTGCATCCAGACTTTATCAAATACGTTAGAATGACAGGCAAGGTTGAAACTCATAGCCAGAGAATGAACAGCAAATTAATATTCAGCGCCATGATGATCAAGAAAAGGAAGCAGCTAGTCTGGCACTGGTCGGAGAATAATTTGTCAGGGTGTTGAAACTTGAATAACAACGCCGGCGTCAATTGGTCGGAGGCGACGCTGGATAATCTAAACTGGCGTAGCTGGAGGAAAGGGGGTAATGGTGAAAAGGCGTTCATACGTGCGTAGTTATAACCGCGGAATTGGAGGAGGAAAAGTGGAGTGTTGCTCTCGTTTTGGGGCTGGCACAGGAGTCGACGGGCGAAGCCGCTGGCTTTCTCTTCAGATGGAGAGAAGCTGCAGAGATCTTGCTGGACTTTACAAGGAGAAGGGTGGGGCTTAACTTGAACTCATGAAATGGGGGTAGCTAAAAGTCGGATCTAGATGATTGTAAACAGATCCTCATGAATTCATGTTATTTTTGTGTTGAAGCAAAATGAAGCTTTCATTCTATTGCAGATCGTGTCCTAGTCTATAGGCAAGCACCACAAAAATCAGCACCCACCACTTCGTGGTGCTGCGGTGACACAATAGCTTAGTTCTAAGGCATGGATCCTCAGAAATTTTTGGATTGGGTCACCTCATATTCACTATTAAATCAGGTGTCCTGTTTTTTAGCCACAGATTACATCAGAGAAGTCATGGATTTACTGCTTGGTGGTGCCTCCATAGTGCAAAATCATTATTCCAGAACGTGGATCTTCAGAATTTTAATGTGCTGTCATACCTGATTTATTCTCCGATCACATATCATGTTTATGGCCACAAATTGCACTACAAAAATCACAGATCCACCTTTTTGTAGCACAGCCCCATGATGCAAAAACATGGTTCCAAAGGGCAGATCCACCTTGATCCTCAGGATTTTTGCATTGGGTCACCTCAAACCATCAAATCATGTATCATGTCCATAGCCATGGATTAGCCCAGAAAAATCATGGATCTATTGGTTTGTGGCACTGACACGGCAGAAAAATATAGTTCCAAAGCAAAAATTCTCAGGTGTCCTCATGATTTTTGTGTTGGGCCACCCCAAGCTCACCATCAAGCCATGAAGCATGTCCGTAGCCATAAGCATGAATCCTAAGTGAGATCACAGAAAACTCACCCTCACATCACTTATTGCATCCTTGGCCACATTGCCTCACAAAATTCACAGATCCATGGCACTGTGCTGCTGCCATGGTGTGAATCTAAAACATGAATCCTCAGGATTTTTATGTTAGATCTTCCCGATATTATAAGTGCTGCAGCTTACAGGATCTGTAGGGTAAGAGGGTTTGGTGTAGGTCATTTCAACCACATTGACTTTTCATGTGTAGTAATGTTTTGTTGGAGAAACCAAAAATGAATTTTAAAGAATTAAATTGTCCCAGAAAACCAAAATATCCAGGAAACCATAGGTTGTTTTTGTGAGTCAATGCTGAGTGGTTAAAAATAGAAATTTGGAAGGGAGCAGACCCTGATGCTGGCCCCTGTATCTAGCTGGCACATCAAAAGTGTTCTCTGCCAACTTTAGAGGACAGCGGAAGACAGGAGGGCCTGGCGGGAGGCCGGGAGCTGGTCCATGGGGTCGCGAAGAGTCGGACTCGACTGCGACTGAACAACAACAACAATCTAGCTGGCACATCAAAAGTGTTCTCTCTAATTAATTACCCCTGGGCTTTTGTATTTTTTTTGTATTTCTATTTTTTATTTTCAACATGCAAATAAATGTACGGTTGCAAGGAAAAAACAAAAGGATACCATATTTTCCTCATACCCTTAATGAGTGTTACATCCTTATTCCTTCCCCGTAAAAAGGAGTAAAGTTTTTTAAAAAGAGAAGGCAATAATTTGCAGAAATTATCAGGAGACTTTTCAACTTGCCTAAATACGTTCCAATATCAGTTGCTACACATTAAAATATGGATTATAGGGATTCCAGTATTTAACAAATGGTAACCATATTTATGCAAATTTCTGGGTTGACTGCCCATAATTTTTGTGTCTGCAAATGTTTGAAAGTATTTGCTGTTATTCAGGGGTCGTTTCGTAGAAAAAGAGGTGCAGGAGCTCATTAGATATCTCATTAGCATAATTTATTTGCATACGCCACACCCCCTGACATCACCGGAAGTGTGTCAGGAGGCAACACCCACCGCTCAGGCTCCACTAGACTGTTTTGGATTGCTAGCTATTGGGGGGGGGACGTGCAGATCTGTCCTCACAGAGGAGGGAGAGCTTGTACCTGAATAAAATGTGGTCTTAAAGGTGCCACTTGACTGTTTTGGATTGCTAGCTA